TCCACGTCGTCGCGCGACCACACATGCGACGCCCTGAATTTTACCGACAAATTCCCAGGTGCGTTGCACGGCTTCTACGCGACGTCGCAGAACGATTTCATTGGCGCAGATGACGCCATTACATCGGTGTCTGTCGCATCACCAACCCATTCCCCACCATCCCATCTCTTCCCAAACACCTGCTCCAACGTTCCTTACTGCTGGAGTAATCGTGCCCGTTGTTCATAATCGTTAGGACAGGTACTTCGCTCCCTATACCGTTAATACCTAGTCTCATCGTTCATATCGCAACACCACCCGTTGCGATGCGCAATCTGCTTGCTCTCCGGCGATCAGTGTCAGAAATATGGTTTAGCCCGTGTCGTGACCGCGTACTGATCAGCAGCTTTCCGTTTAGAATCTCATAAATGCTTGTTTTACTTGCATTAGTTTATCCAATAATTTCGAGGCGCGCTACGGAGAGTGCACCACAGACGATGTCACAGTGATTCAATCGACAGATTATCCTCCAGGGTCCAGAGTAAGTCTAGTATTAGCTCTTCAAACTCTTTACTTTTGCTTTTCCAGACTTAGTTTAGTAACACTATCAGGTCTGATCACATTCATTTGACGTTGGATGCAGTTTCCCGAGTATCAAGAGGCAGAGGAGCTGGTTGCAATGGCGGTGCGATTGTTCTGAGAATAGGCAATTCCCTCCGGATTTAGATGCTTTCAGTTGTAGCAACTATTCTGAATGCTGGATTTAGGGTTAGGAGCTAGAGGTGGCAGAACTCCTGAGTACTTGTGAATATGAAGCGGTACAAGGCGTCACCTGTTTTTGCCCTTTTAGTAATCATGCTTTTCATATGCTGCAATAGTACCTTTAGGAGTGGTAGAGCTTTGGAGAATCATCAGCGGGCATGCAAGAAGCGGCCCCGTGAGCAGGAGGAGGTGGATGACTTGGTCCAGCATATTAGACGTAGAAATTCCCAGGGGAGTAATGGGCCCAGCACGGATTTACCAGCACCTTCACCAACGGTTGCAGGGCATTCGGAGGCTAGAACCACTGCAAGCATGGCTCCAGAGATAGTAGACGATCCCCCAGAGCTTTCACGTCCTGAACCATTCGCAATGGACCCACCACCAGTGGTGGTACCGCCATTTGACATGGACAAGGCATTTTTAAAGGTCATCCACAGCTGCAATAAAGGCATGGGATTATCTGCTACGGACACAAACAACATATTAGCGCTGTTTTGTCGACCCACAGCGGAGAGACCTAGCTATACTAACAGGGCTGGCATGGACAAGTACGCTAAGGCATTATTAGTACAACTGACAGGGATAACGGAGTGGGAGTCCATCGACGTTAGTCACGACGACAATCATGTCGCCACGCTCTACTTGACATCATTCGCTAAGGCCGTCGAAACGTTGTTCTCAGATCCCAAAAACCATAGCGGGTTTGTGTTGAGAGCTGCACCGCTTTACACATCGGATGGCAAGCAACGCATATACGCAGGGCCAGAGACCGGGAATATGTGGATTGAGATACAGGGCATGCTTCCGATGGGTGCTGTACTGGCTACCGTTATAATTTACAGCGACGCGACCAACCTGTCCAATGATGGACGAGTAGTAGGTCACCCCGTGTACTTGACCCTAGGAAACATCTCAGTCAAGAACAGGTGGCAGCCGCATGGCCACATCATGATAGCAATGCTGCCCCCTTTAACTGGTGTAGATGCGAAAACAGAAGCTGGAAAGGAGACGCGTCATGTGGTCTTCCAAAAGGCGATGGATCGCATCATGCAAAGCCTCAGGGAGGCATCCCGAGAGTGAGAATCATCTCTGTCTTCCTCCCATCTCTGCCTTTCTCCCATCTCGGCCTTTCTCCCAACTCTGCCTTTCTCCCATCTCGGCCTTTCTCCCATCTCTGCCTTTCTCCCATCTCTGCCTTTCTCCCATCTCACTCTTCCTCCCATCTCTGCCATTTCTCCCATCTCTGCCTTTCTCTCATCTATGCCATTGCTCCCATCTCTGCCCTTACTCCCGTCTCCCCCTTTTCTCCCATTACCAGTTTTATATTTTGTATGTATTTGATTTTTGGTTCTCATAATTATCCCAACATCATCATGCTTACATTGATCATAGAATGACCAAACTACGCTCTGGTCGCTTCATTTCAGCACCACCAGAGCTCTGGTCACTTCATTTCAGCACCACCAGAGCTCTGGTCACTTCATTTCAGCACCACCAGAGCTCTGGTCACTTCATTTCAGCACCACCAGAGCTCTGGTCACTTCATTTCAGAACCACCAGAGCTCTGGTCACTTTCATTTCAGCACCACCAGAGCTCTGGTCACTTCATTTCAGCACTACCAGAGCTCTGGTCACTTCATTTCCGCACCACCAGAGCTCTGGTCGCTTCATTTCAGCACCACCAGAGCTCTGGTCACTTCATTTCAGCACCACCAGCTCTGGTCACTTCATTTCAGCACCACCAGAGCTCTGGTCACTTCATTTAATCAAGTGACCAGAGCTCTGGTCACTTGATTTCAGCACCACCAGAGCTCTGGTCACTTCATTTCAGCACCACCAGAGCTCTGGTCACTTCATTTCAGCACCACCAGAGCTCTGGTCGCTTCATTTCCGCACCACCAGAGCTCTGGTCGCTTCATTTCCGCACCACCAGAGCTCTGGTCACTTCATTTCAGCACCACCAGAGCTCTGGTCACTTCATGCTCTACCCCACGTCAACCCGCCCCCCATCCCTTGTTGACAGTGGGATAATCATAAAGGACCCCTGGGGTGAACGACAGCTTGTGTACTTGGTTTTGTACGCATACGTTGCGGATCAACCAGAGGCATGTAAGGTTGCTGGTACATACGCAAGTCACAAGGCCAACTTCCCATGTCATAGGTGCTTAGTCCGACGCGAGGACATAAGCAACATGGAAATTGTGAGCGAATACCGCATCGAGGAGGATCAAGCAGCCAAGGTGGATGGCTTGCTCGCTATTCCCACTGTCATCGCTCGCAATGACGCTGCACAGTTGCTGAGCATTCACCCTGTCAAGGTGAGCCATGCCATTTCTTTTGTTGTTTCCCTTCGCACGTATTGCGTGGGCTTTCATTGCATGAAACTCAATGCTATGTTTGCTAGATCCAGTCGCAAGTACATTGCATGGGGTTTCATTGTTAATGCTCTGCTTGTTATTTCCTGTCGCATGTGCTATGCTCTTCCATTGCACAGGCTGCCATATGGGGGCTTGCCTTGGGCAGGACAGTCGTGGGCAATCCCTACCGAGCACTACTCATTGAGGTCATGCACGTGCTTGATCTGGGTATTTTCATGCACATCATGTCATGCATCCGAGTCATGTACAAGAAAACAAGGGAGACAAACGTCCTAAAACAGCTAGACGAGGCCCTGCAACGCATTGCTAAAGACACTCGCATCTCTGGTTTCCGGCTGCCCGGTCATGAGAAGGGTGGCTACTTTGCAGGGCGGCAAAGTTCCAAGCCTTTGAACACCGTGCAGTCATGCAGGTGGCTACAATTGTCCTTGCAGGGTTGGTGGACCAGAAAGTCGTGGATGCTGTAGCAGCGTTTGTAGATTGCTACATGCTGGCCTGCAGGAGATGGTACCATACGGACAACACTTTACAAGAACTGGACGTCGCTATTAAAAGGTACCACCTCTAGCCATCAAGGTCACATCCTACCATCTCCCTTTCCTCTCACCATGCTTTCACTCCCTATCCATATCCTTTGGTGCAAATTTCAGCATTCCCTCACACTCATACCTCTGCCCTATCATCTCCCTTTCCTCTCACCATGCTTTCCTCTCACCATATCCATGTCCTTTGGTGTAAATTTCAGAAATCCCTCTCACTCCTACCTCTGCCCTACCATCTCCCTTTCCTCTCACCATACTTTCACTCCCTATCCATATCCTTTGGTGCAAATTTCAGCATTCCCTCACACTCATACCTCTGCCCTACCATCTCCCTTTCCTCTCACCATGCTTTCCTCTCACCATATCCATGTCCTTTGGTGTAAATTTTAGAAATCCCTCTCACTCCTACCTCTGCCCTACCATCTCCCTTTCCTCTCACCATGCTTTCAGTCCATATCCATGTCCTTTGGTGTAAATTTCAGAATTCCCTCTCACTCCTACCTCTGCCCTACACTCTCCCTTTCCTCTCACCATGCTTTCACTCCCCATCCATATCCTAAACCCAAATTTCAGCATTCCCTCACACTCATACCTCTGCCCTATCATCTCCCTTTCCTCTCACCATGCTTTCCTCTCACCATATCCATGTCCTTTGGTGTAAATTTCAGAATTCCCTCTCAATCCTACCTCTGCCCTACATTCTCCCTTTCCTCTCACCATGCTTTCACTCCCTATCCATATCCTTTGGTGTAAATTTCAGTATTCCCTCACACTCATACCTCTGCCCTACCATCTCCCTTTCCTCTCACCATGCTTTCACCACTTATCCATATCCCTTGCTGAAAACTTCCGGCATACCCTCTCACTCCAAACTCTGGCCAACCATCTGTCTTCGAATTCACCTTCCGTTCACATTCTCTGTTCCAACATGCTTGTCATGGTCAATTCTCTGCCTGTCACCCTCACCTTCACCTCACTGTCACTTCCATTTCCACAATTCCCTACCCTCTTCTCCACCCTGCCCTATTTCACTTCGCCTCTAACCCCCCTTCTCTGTTATACCCACTCCTCTCTTATCCCTACATTCACCTATCCTTTTTCATCGCCGTGCAGATTGATTCCACAACTGAAAGAGGTTTTTGGATCAAGTCAAGCGTCGGAGTTCAACATCGGAAAAGTTCACCAACTCGCACATTTTGTTGAGGACATTCGCCAATCCGGAGTGCCTGTGCACTACAACGCAAACATGTTTGAGTACCTTCACCAACCACTCGTAAAAAGGGCCTATCGTGCGAGCAACAAACGAAATGCCATGCCACAAATTATTAATCACACGGTCATGGCACAAATGCTTCGCATGCTCGACGATTCGGATCACAACAAGGAGGATGCGGCACAACGAATGGTCGCACTACAACAGGTGTGTGTCGCTACACCAGTTTTGTCTTGAATTTTATTATTCCTCTGCCTTTGTTGCTGGCTTTTTCTATCTTCATTTTAAAATCAGCATCATGCTACTTTTCAATGACTTTGCATCATGTATGCAGGCCATGGAATCTGGCCGGAACACTCTTGTTGCCACATCGACCAAGGTGAACTGGAGGAACCCACGATATGCAGGTCAAACTCTTTGGCAGGAGTACGAAGCTACAGCACCTGGCGATATGTCACAACTTCGTAGCTGGCTCTCACAAACTCCAGCCGACAACGTCAAACTGGGGGACCAGATTCAAGTAAGGAAAGGCATGGCGATACCAGGAGATGAGGACTTCACCAAGTATTCAAGCGTCACACATTACGTGCGTGCGTGCCCATTGTTCATGAAAAGGCCTTGGTACAGTGATGTTGCGATTTTGGGCAAAGAGAGGGTGACATCAACGGACGGCACATCGAGTAGCAAGGACGTGATCTGGTATGCGCGTCTTCTGATGATTTTTGTGGCTGAACCAGAGGATCCTGAAGCAGAGTTGGCAGACCAACGCGAGAGAGCCTTCGTAAGGTACTACAATGTGTCTGACGAGGTTCATCCGTCGCACTGCCCCGTGCTACTGTGGGAAGAACCTGGGAATGAGTACCAGGTGGTGGAGATCGACAGCATCTTAAGAGTGGCACACGTGGTTCCTGTTGGTGATAACAAGTTTGTCCTTAATAGTTTTAAGTTATACTAATAACTTCGATAATAGCGAGACGCTTGTTTTGCGAAAAGCATGTACCGTATTCGAGAATCATATGCTGTACTGTCAGTGAAGTCTGCCATGCTTTCAATCAACATCGGATGCCCGGAGTTAGCTTGTAAAAAGTTAAGGCATTCTTAAATAACTGCAACTTCACATGTTTCCTCTCCTTTTTTGGATTCTGTAAAGTTTTTGGAACTGTATATATTACAACTGTATCGAAACGCAGTGTGGCAGTGAGACTTGTATTGAATATGCGATATTTCGACTTCTGGAAGCACACAAGTGGAAGAAGCGGTGAATACCATCGAACAACAGTGAAACACGTGACCAAACCTTTCTAGTGGTTGCATACCTTTTTCCGTGAAAATTACACTGTCTTATTCACTAGCGAGATGGTGCAGACCTCTCGACACCCAACTCCTTACACTTAGGAATTACAGTGTTATCTTGCAGCTAATCGTCGCTTGGAAGTCTCAAACATTGCGGGATTTCTACCTCGAGATGTTTAGTTAATGTCTAAATTCGGTTTAGTTGGCGACAAAACCTTTTTCATCGTAGTTCTGTTGGCTTCGAGTAGGACAACTGTACGTTGCGCACTGTGGTCAAATGCGCGTTGGTCGTCTTGTTCGTTTCGTCAAGGCAGCTGTAAATTGCTCACAGCGCTCAGCTACGCTGTTACTGCCGCGCTGTCACACTCCACCCATTGGTGCCAACGTTACGCTGGGTGGCAAGTTGCCACGAAATCGTCAAATTATGCCCCCTGAAACCGCCCACCCGATGCCCTTGGGGGGAGAATGTGCTGCACTTTCGCTCTGTTTCGCTGCACTTCACCGCCACGAATGAATGTGCTTGCGATCCGTTGGATTCTGACAAACGCGGCAAATTCACGTGGAGTCCCTATCTCCCCAGAATTTCCGCGCTGCCATTTCACAGGCCCGAGCTTACTGTTAACCTTCTGTGTGTCGAGCGCTGCCCGCCGAACTATTTTTTTCTGACATCAAATTGCGCACTTCGCGAATGCGGAGAAAAATACCGCGCGCAATTCCAACGGTAGTTTAAAACGGGAACTTCAGAAGGGTCTAGAATTATGTTCAAGTGGCATATAAGGGTTAGTTTAATGGAGAAACTTGCATAGAGAAAAACTTTGTGTTCTGGCTATCCACCCTCCCATCCAACCACCCAACCCACACACCCTCTCATGGCGATGCTTCCTCTGAGAGCTTGTTGAAGCAAGACAGAAGAGACCCACTAAACGTAACTCTAGGCTGTACGACTATGAGACTGACTACCCTCGCAGTCGGGCTCGTGGCGGATTGGCCAGCAACCTCCAAAAGACTCCCACACCACTCACTAAGGGCGTATTCCTGAGCTCGTGCCATCCGGTGTTGGTGTCATCCGAAAACTTTGGAACTCAAAAGATTGGCCCAAAAATCACAATTGACCAATCACATGCATTCCAAAGTTGTCGGATGACACCAACTCGGGATGACACCTCTCAGGAATACGCCCTAAATCTTCCTTGGTCACCACGCCACCTGCAAAGGAGAATCTTGACGCTGTAGTCGCCAGTGTCTCTTCCGCTGATGCAGCTGATGATGATGCGCTTAACCCTGTCACTCCCATGGTTGGGGGTGATGCAGCGAACCTCATCGCGGAGAACGTTGTCGGCTCGCAAGAAGACGTGTCCAACGACAACCTTGCTGCATCGCGGTCCGGTGTCAATGCTCTCGTCGCCAAAAATGGTTCGTTTTAGTTTCAAAATGCTTATTCTGCCACTTATGGTTTTCCTGGTACGTTGTTTTGCCCCTCGTTCCTAATTTTGTTGCGTTTCAATGGACAGGGACACCGATTTCCTCGGACCGGAACGTGCATCATCCGGAAGCAAACACCTTCAGTTCGTTGGAATCTAACGTCCGAGTTTCTCTGCGGAACATCTCGGAAATGTTGGAATCCATCAAGCAACGGCTTCTAGCATCCGAAGAAACGCAGCGGCTGCTTCTTCAAATCGTCAGGGAGCTGGCAAAAAACGTCAACCTACCAAGCTGGGGCTCTGACGTTCAAGTGCAGGTGAGAGCTTCCTTTCATAACGCATTTCAAATGTTGTACATGTTACTCGTGCTACTGCTAATTCTGTTCTTTGTCTTTGAAATGCAGGAAAAAAAGGGCGAAGTTCTCGATACGCTGTTGAACGGGGCGAAGCTGGAGAACAGGAGAATATATCCTACCGAGGACGATTTCAAACTTGTGTTGGCTGACGTGTTGGCTGTGCAGGAGGATGAAGCTGCACGCTTCAACTCGGACTACAAAAACAAGAAATGGGGAAAGAAACTCACGCATGACTGCAATGGCAGGAGAGGAAAGTACAACACAGCTTTCCGCAAAACTGCATTCTCACTCCTGAAAGGCCCTGAAGGGGACATCGTGGTCAACACGGACAAAGCACGTAGTGACTATCCGACCAACAATGCTTGCGGTAAGGCTGTCCACTCTCGTTTTGATTTAGCAGGAATGATTCTGATCGCCATTTTGTTTGTGCAGATGTTTATGGGCTTCCATGGCACGCAGTGGGGGATAATGTTAAATAGGCTAGGCGAAAACGAGAAATAGGCAAAGAGGGCTTTTCACTAGCAGCAGCAGGATACATATACGAAACCCTAAATCGGGTTGTACTCGCTATAGAGTACCCCACTGCAGGCTAGACACACATAACATTCTGACACACCCCCATAGTCAAAGTGGGGTACAATCAACACAACAAGCAGGCAGAGCAGTAGTTCACAATTATAAGCAGCGCTAGAGACTATCACAGAGAGCAAGTGAGGAGGAGGAGAAACTGTGGGGCCGAGACGACGGCTACAGCTGCAGACACACGGGCAACAGAAGTGCGCAGCACTGTCGCTACCAGGCTAAACCCGGACTACACGGCGACAGGCTCTGCTGGCTCGCTGTGCTCCCACGAGTGCTCACACTGTGGCTACCGGGCGCAGAGCCCCGGACTACTCAGGCCACAGGGGGTCGTGGCTCTCTGGACTACCAGGAGTGCTCACACCGTGGCTACCGGGCGCAGAGCCCCGGACTACTCAGGCCACAGGGGGTCGTGGCTCTCTGGACTTCAGGCGCTGCGGACGACAAGCCGGCAACCTCCGGTCAACCTCCCCCAACTGTTCCACACCCCTTTCACACACTCCCTGCTGAACCACTAGCACCGCTCACACGCCACCCCCCTCGTACCACTCCGACGGCTCCAACACATCCACCCCCCTCAGCGACAGCTGCAACAGTGGGAGACGGAGGAGGAGGAGCAGGGGACGGCTCACACACACGGCACCCCCATACTCTCCACCCCCAAACCCTAACACAGGAACGCGGGCAGCAGCGGGGGTGGGGCGAGGTCAGAAGCTCGGGGGAGGGCGTGCGACACAGGGGAAGACGGTATGGGCCGCGCACGGGCCTGGCGCAGGCCGGACGAACCGCGCGCGGGCTGCCCGAGCCTCGCGCGGGCCTGGCGCAGGCTTTACGGGCCGCGCGTGTGCTGTACGGGCCGCGCGCGGGCCTGGCGCAGCCCGTACGGGCCGCGCGCGGGCCTGGCGCAGGCCGTACGGGCCGCGCGCAGCCTGGCGCAGGCCGTACGGGCCGCGCGCGGGCCTGGCGCAGGTCGCGCGGGCCGCGACGGGCGACGGGGGGCGACGCGCGGGTCCCCGGGGGCGCTGCGACGGACGACGGGGGGCGACGCGCGGATCGACGGGCAGCAAACCGCCGCGCACCTCGGGGTGCGCGGCGGGCAGAAAACCGCCGCGCGCCCCGAGCGCGCGGCGGGAAGAAAAAACGCTGCGCGCTCCGAGCGCACGGCAGTGAGAAAACGGCGCGCGCCCGCGGCACGCTACAGGCAATAGAGTAGCGGAAGCATCGGGTGGGGCCCACCCACAGGATCGACCCAGGAGGGTCGACCAGCTCTGATAGCATGTTAAATAGGCTAGGCGAAAACGAGAAATAGGCAAAGAGGGCTTTTCACTAGCAGCAGCAGGATACATATACGAAACCCTAAATCGGGTTGTACTCGCTATAGAATATCCCACTGCATGCTTGACACACATAACATTCTGACAGATAACCCACTACCTAGTAAAGCCTTTGTGACTGCCGCCAGTTTGTGGTACAAAGAACCTGTTGAAGACATCGCTCTCACCATTGATCAAGTCTGTTACCTCCTTGTTGCTGTAAGTTGTGTTGCGCAATTTCGATGGTGTTCTTTGCGGAGAGTCGCTACACAACGGGAGTGGACTACGGAGGAGGGCACGGGGTTGTGCGAGTGATCGTAGCGCTATGCTAACGTTCTTACTGCTTGCTATGTTCACTGAGAAGTTTGGCAAGAATTCCACTAAGGAAAGAACAACGTGCATTAACAAAGTTGATAGGAAAAGAAAAGAATAGAGAGCAACAATGAGGCATACAGAAACAAAAGGACTAGAATGGCATGGAACTCCTAGCAAGGGCGAACTCTGCCAGCGCAGCAGAAGAGCGGCTCGCCAACGCTGCAGCAGAGTGACCTGCCAGCGTTGCACTGCGCGCGATCTGCCAGCACTGCAGTCGCAGGTGACTATCTGCAATCGCAGGTAACTTTCTACGGTCGCAGGTTGTCTATCTGCGCAGATGTGCGCACCTACCAAGTAGGTGCAGGTTGGTGGTTTCACCGTCAGGCACATTGCGCAGGTGCCAGGTAGTAAACATGTCGTCGGTTTCGCCAGGTGCGCGCCGTCGACCACGTGATGCCGTTCCGCAGGTAGAACTTCGCCAAAATCTCCTGGGCGAATGTTCGCACGCCTTCGCAGAGTTTCGCGCAACTCTGCAGCTTTCGGTCGATCAGCTCGACTCTGCACGGTCGAACAGCGTTCGCCGCGCATAGCTTCTCGACCAGAACTCTTCGACCAGAGTTCTTCGACCAGCGCTCTTCGACGGAAGCTCACCGCGCAGAGATCGTCGACCAGAGCTCA